ATTCTCTCATAATAAGCTGAACCTGAGAAAACATTCCTTCGAAACAGGTGTGTTTCCCTGAACATGTTTCATTTTGAAATACGCCACCACCTTCCATTTTAAACAAAACACTGACCAGCTCCACATAAGGCTGAGGGATTCATTTTACAACGACACAGATTACATTTACTTCTTGCCTTAAACTATTTATGATGGAAAAACCTTCCTCTCGGTGCTCAAAAAAGACTTTCAGTCATTCAATAATCCTTCCATCCTCTCCAAACATGTGCACTGAGGATTTCCCAAAAAGCCATGCAGTGGAACTGGAAGGTAAAAGTAATTTTCTTCAGCTCCTCCCTGCAGTGAGCACTTTAATGTCATGATATGACCTCTGCAGACAGACAAAATCCATCCCAAAGTTTTAATGATACTCATTATGCAGCATCAGATAAATAACAGTAAAAGCTGAAGAGACCACGTCTCCACAAACAGATTTCATAAAAAACTAGAACTTCTGGTTTCAGACAGAATATATATTTAGAATATCTGTGCAAGAGGTGAATATATACAATAAATATATCTTGTTATATCAACTATAGTCACAGATTTTTTTTTTTAATTAACTATGCAACTGTAGAGGTGTATCAGGAAGACATATTTCTGACTGACATTTCTTTCATTGTAATATGGGAAAATATAATCGAATTCTTCCTGCTGCTACAGCTTCAGGATGTCTGGCACAGCTGAGAATGTGTCAGGAATTAGAATAGATTATTATATTTTAGTATAAATTTCATTTTAATGACAAAGTATTGGACTTCTGGTGGGAGAGCTAAGGAACACGGGAGATTTCTTCCTAGGAAATGCTGAAAGGCACGTAAAAATTTTAATATATACTCAATAATATGTTAAATATCAGATTCTGAGTATTTCTGTAGGGCTACTTTTTATTAAAATTAGCAGCTGCTTGCCTGTTGGCTCTATGGAAAAACATTTCATGTCTCTGTAAAGGGGTGATGCTTCTGCATGAGCAGACATCTGTTCATTCAAGTGATACATTTTCCCCTCACATCTGCTGAAGCAACAGAGAGTGTGCACTTATTCTGTTGTTTTCTGAGATTCTGAGGCACGCACATTCACAGCAAAAAGTTGCTTGCAAGTGGTAAAAGGTTAAAAAAAAAATGAATTTACCTGAAATTATGTATACTTATTGAAAATGAGTAGGACAGTTTCAGTTTTATGCTTATAAATAATATGCTTAGCTAGCTGAAATTCCATTTACAGTCAATAGTTCTGATTCCTTTTAGGTTCTCTAATAATTAGGGTAAATTTAATAGTGCCACGAAAGGCATGGAGTCACATGCAAAAACCTGCCAGTTCAAGTGGGAAGCAGCAAACATCCCTGTCAGACATACAGTACAACTTGACTGGCTGTATAAATTAACATTATAGTGCACACACAGTAACATGGCACGTCCCATAAAGCTACAGCTTTGCACCAGAAATGCCAGACACACTTTTACATCTGCAGAGATATAAGCAGTGAATAATTCACTTCAGAGTGAAGCACAGGACCCAAGGATCATGGCCTTGCCTAAACCACTCTGGAATCACTTGGAAAGGGAGGTGCCATGAGCTCCATCCATGCAAATAAAAATGCAAAGAGGTGACATGTTTCCAGCAGAAGGTTGGCTTGAAAATCTTCAGATATTTTACTTTGCTTGTGAAAGTTCTTTCTGCTGAACAACATTCTTCAGAAATATGATTATAAAAAGCGGTTTTGCTCGTGCTCCCATTAAAAGGATGGGTGTCCTGCCAACTTAAAAACGGTTAAAAATGTGGGTTTCTTCTCCTCAAAGTTTATGTAAATATTATATAAATATCATTTGATATTTTCATTTCATTTCCACTTATCACAATGCTTCCAGCAAGCCACACATAGATGGCATCAGGTCGAAATCTAAGGGACTGGAAGCTACAGGAATGCTGCCAAGGGACAAAACACTCATGGCCAGTGCAACCAAAACATGTGGTTGGAAATCTGAGTGAGTCTTGCTTGGAAATAAATTCATGTGATAGAACAGCAAATGTGTAATTGAAGGGGTGCAACTGTGGCATGTACCACTGATAATTTCTATTAAAACACCTTAATCTTCTTCCACAGAGCTCATCAAGAGCATCCTCCAGTCAAAGCTGCTGGTGCAGCCTCACCTTTCCAGCTTGGAAAAGGAGCTGTTCCTAAATGCTTCCAGAAAGGCCATGTCTGTTACTGGGCTTGCATGTATGTTATCCATAATCTGGGATCGAGTCCAAGCCCCTGAAGTTACTCACAAAATTCAGGTTTAGGTCAGGCTGAACCGCTTGAAAGCTCAGGAGAACTGTTTTACAGGACATTCTTCTGGTGTTCTACAACCCCTAAAGTTTTAATATTCAGATCTGTCTGTGGCAAAGGCAGCCATAAATAAAAGAACAGTGACCTTTGAACAGTATTGTAAAGCCATAGCCCAATTCTGACTGCAAAATTTCAACCAAGAGCAACAGTAATTTCACCTAAATCGTGATAAAAAAATAAAGGGTAACACAACAACCTCCCAGTGTATTTGGTGCATGTAATCCACTTGGGTATCCCAAATTGAAAGAGTTTAAGCCACAGGTGTTAGAAGGAGATTTTTAAAACTTTTTAGAGACCTTTAGAGAATTTTTAGAGACCTGCAGATGCTGCATAAATCAAATGACAATGAAAACTGCCATTCACTGGAAAATAATTTTGGAGCTGTGGAATTATTCACTGGTAAAAATGGTCTTAGCCCTGTTTGTGTTTCTAAAGTTTGTTAGAACTTCATGAGCAAAGTTACAGCATCAGTTGATCTAAAATGCACAGAAACTACTTTTTTCTCCAAGCATTTTAGTCTGTCCAACCCTCCAGCTGTTGGTTCACTCTTTGGGTGAAAAAGGCCGAGCAAAAAGTGCTTTGGAAAGCTCTAACACATAAATAAAAGATGTTTTGCTGTATTTCTACAGATTTCAAAGTGCTTTCAAATGGAGACAAGTCCTTTTCCTTCTCTCCAGTATTAAGGCTCTTATAAAAAAAATATAATTTCAACTAAAAGACACTTGGGCTTTTTTTAATCAAATACACCACTTCATATGCTTTAATCATGAGCATTTTAAGACCCTAGTTGTGCAATTCTAGCTTTATATCCATGTTCTAGCAACTTATAGGATTACTGTATTACAAGATGGGGACCTTAATATTCTAAAATGTGAAATCCTCAGGAGATGCTGACAGTACATTTCTCTTATATTCTGTTTCATTAAAAACACAGGGATTAGAAAACTGCCTGGGAAATTAAAACCAAGTTACCAGTACTACAGAAAGCAGTCTTGCTATTACTTCCATTAAATCAGAGACAGTGATCCAGAGAAATTAAATTAAATACTCTTTTCCCATCAACTTTCCAGACCTCTTTTTCCCCCAGAATTTAGAAGTTTAATTATTCTGACTGAACCAAACCCTCAGGAGACTAAAGTGCTCTCAATTCCCACCGAAGTCAAAAGGTTCTGTGAGAACTCATTACTCCAGACATTACTCAAGCTGCTTGGGACACTTAACTCTTTCAAGGAACATAAAAATGAAGTTAAAAATCACATTTCATTCATTAACAACGTACAGAAGGTCCAAAACCTCAAAGGCCTGACCTTACAGCCCTTCATAACCAGCAGATCACGCTGACATTGGTTTTGCCACTCTCAGAAGTTGTATTTGCAGAGGTCCCTCTCCTGCAAACACGCACACACCTCAGTCCTGGAAAATCAGCACCCAGATTTGGCACCAGCACAACCTGTACTCAGCTGAACTCCCGAAAATTCGAGTTTTAAAAGGAAAATGCTATGTTTACTGCTAATATAATTTAAAAATATATTTAAAACATACCTTTGAAGGCAGAAGTCAGCATACTCTGTAATATTTATATGGCAAGGTGCAACTTTCTTCGATTTGTCTGACTAAACTTTGCTAGATTTGTGAAATCTGTCCCTTACTGAAATTATTATGAAAAATTTGGAGCACTTAATTTTTCAGAAAGGAGGTCCCTGCCCTGACACACCTTAAGAAATTAAGTTAAACCGTCAACAGGAATAAAAATGAAAGTGTTGCTTGTGATGCAGACCAGAATTATGGATTTAACTCTTGTAGTCTCTAGTTCCCTCGGTGCAATCCCACGACTTTCCTGCTGACCTGAACACAAGCAGCTTCACAGGCCCAATCCTACAGAAACAAACACCAGACCCTGCCAACCCCTTCCACCAACGTACCACACGAATCCTAAACCAAAACACTTTCTCTTTAAAATCTCTCCGTGAGTGACATTTCAATTAGGCTGTGACGCTATTTTTTTTTCTTTCTAAGTATGTTTAAATACACGAAATAGGGTTCAAAATTAAAAAAAAAAAAATTTTTGCTTTAAACCAAACATTTTTACAGCATGATGAAACACAGCTACACCTTGGGGCATCCCCGCTCTTGTCCTTTTGGGTTGCAAACTATTCTGTCCCTCAGCCCTCCATTATGAGGCCCTTAACCCCAAACTGACACGAGAGGGGGAGCGCAGACCCAGCCCCTCGCCAGAGCCGGGCTTTGCTTGAGCAGGATTAGGCAAATGGGACGGCTGGAGGGGTGCCCTGTGACCCTGCCCTCCGGGTCACCTGCTGAGGCGACAGCAGCCCCTCTGGCACCTGGAAGCATGTGCATCCAAGGATCCCGGTCCCGGCCGGTCAATCCCGCCCATTCCCCGAGCCCCCCCCGGCAGATGCTGCTTTGGTGGCCGCCACAGCGCTCGGCGGACTGAGGGGAACCCGCGCCCGACCCCCCGTGAGGGGAGCGAGGGTCCCCCGGCATCGCCAGCGACCCCGGAAAGCCAAATCATCCCGCTGGGAACAGAACTCGGGAAAAGCCCTCCCGGCGGCTCTCTGGGAGGCGGCGGGGCAGCCCCCGGGCGGGGGGATCCCCCCGGCCCCCCGGCTCAGATGAAGTGGATCCAGGCGGAGCTGTCGGGGTCCTGCGGGAGGCCGGTGCCGGGCGGGACGCGCTGCCGGGCCCGCAGCCGATAGTTCTTGCCCTCGTTGTTGTCCCAGTACTCGGCCCCGGCCACGCGGTACCGGACGGCGAACTCGAGCGTGGCCTCGGCGGCGGCAGCGCCCAGGGGCAGCAGGAAGGCGAAGCGGTCGGTGATGCCGTCGGGCGGCCCGGGCGGCTGGTACGCGGCGGGAGCCTCCGCGCAGCTGGCCCAGGCATTGAGCGTGTACCGCACCGACACCACCTTCTCGTAGGCGAGGTTGAGGACGCGCACGGCTCCGCGCAGCCCCGCGGGCTCTGCCCGCACCCACTCCAGCCTCACCTTGTGCTGCCGCACCCGCTCCACGAAGCCCGGGCTGGCTCCGGGCTGCGGCGGGAACAGCGGCTCCAGCAGCGGCGGCGGCGGCCCGAACAGCACCGGCTCCAGGTCACCCAGCGCCGGCGGCTTCCTGGTCTTGAGCAGGTCTGCGGGGCGCGGCGTGGGCGGCGCGGGCAGCGGCACCCGCGGCAGGTCGGCCTCGCAGAAGAGGTGCACGGAGGTGAGCTCCAGCCCCAGGGAGTCGGCGAACCGCACGGTCTTGCGGCGCGACGGGCTGTGCTGCAGCGCGGGGCGCAGGCTGCGGTCTCCGGGCGTGGGCAGCGACTTGGCGCGGCGGCGCTGCGTGGGGCTGGGGGGCACGGCGGGCAGCGTGGGCTCCCGGCCCCGCGTCTGCGGCGGCTTCTCGCCCGCCGCCTCCCGCACCACGGGCGTGGGCGCGGCGTCGCCGTCGGGGCTGCAGCCCGCCCTGCACTGCTCGGCCAGGCTGCCATAGAGGCAGGCGCTGCAGCTGAAGTTGCGCGGCAGGTAGAGCCGGGGCGGCGGCGCGGGCACCGAGCTGTGCAGCGAGCCCGCCTTATCCATGGGGCGCCGGCGGGAGCGGCGGCGGGGCCGGCGGCTGGCGCGGCACCCGCGGCTCCTCCTCTCGTGCGGGTGGCGAGGCGGCTTCAGCGCCCGGTCCGCGGGCTCTGCCCGTCGCCCGGAGCCGGCGGGATCGCCTCGGCGCTGTGCAGGTCGCGGCCGGCCCCGGGGGATGCCGGCGGGTGCATCTGTGCGGGGGCGGCGGCGGGGCCGCGCTGCTCCGGCTGCTGCCGCTGCTGCCGTGCCGCGGTCAGGCAGCGACACACGCCCCGAGCCATCCTTCCCTGCCCATGGCTCCCACCCCTGCCCGCCTCGCCACGGCCCCTGATCACACCCCGCGGCTCCCCCCAGTACCGCGGCTACGCCGGCCCTCTCCTCCTCTTCCTCCTCCGCCTCCTCGCTGTGTTCTGGGTCTTTCCTCGAGGATCTCATCCAAAAAGAGGAGGCGGGAGGGATTCCCCAGTGGAAACATTAAAATTCATAGCGGCGCTCTCGCTCGCCCGACCCGCTACAGAAATAGCTGCGGGAGAAAGAGGCAAAGCCGGGCTCGGGGAGATTACACGGGCCGATAAGAAACAGCTGGCTGGCAACTTGGATCTCGCAGTGTACATTTAAAGGAAGAAATCCAGCTAATCTGCTGTAATGCGTTTACTGTACATCTGCCGAATAAAAGGCACCTGCCGCAGTCCTGCCGCTCATCGCCCCCGGCGCTCGAACAGCTCCGGCCGAAACACGGGGGGACGATTGTGACACACAAACCCCGGTGGTTCTTGTCGGAAGAGCGTTTGGCAATTGCCGAGCAATATTCAGCTGAATTACAGTTTAATGACGAGCAGACTCTGGTGTAGCCAGTTCAAGGCGCTAAACCACCATTTTAGTAAGCCGCTTCATTCCAGACTTTCCGTAATCTGGGACTCATTTTTAATTAGTAAATTGCATTAAAAACAATGATCCAACCGTCCTGCCAGAGCCTGAGCCTGAACTGTGTTGACATGTGATTCTGATTTAGCTTCTGAGCAGGAGCTTTTTACACCTCGAGCATTTTATCTGCAGCACTTGGTGTTCCTTTGACAGTCTGGGCAGTGGAAATGCGGCTGATGAGATTAAGAACGGGACAAGTAAACCCGATAAGGACCAAGTGCTAAAAAGCCACTAGAACACAGGGAAGAGTTATTCGCTGCCTCTGTTAGAACTATCAGCTTTAATTCCTTTACTAATAAGTATGAAAAAAAATCCTAGATTATTGCTGCTGGGTTCCAAATGTTTTTAATGACAGATGGTTCATAAGCAGGGAATAAAAATTTCTGCTCATCAGTGTTAAATTTGACACCATTAAGCTTTGTCGTGCCATTGTCTCATATTCATAGGCTGATCATAGGTTTTGAAAAATCAAATACGAATAACATAAATAATTACATCTCAATTCATTAGCCCAGGATCTTAAAATTGTCTCATTTGTCCTTTAACGCCATCCCTCACAGAAATTAGTATTTCAGGAAAATCAGGTTTTCATCTACTCACACTTAATTTGGGGGAGAAAAAGAACCGACCCAAATAATTGTTCAAACAGGTTTTCAGGTTATATCCTTTTGAATCATTTTTAGAGTAATTTTTCTCTGTCATAACATTTGCTAAGGAATTACCACTTCTTTGTGCTGATTTCACTTTAAAACAAGTAAAGAGTAAGAACATTCTTTTTTACATTGATATGCAAAGTCTTGGCATTTTTAAACCATTGTGAAACTATCGGAACTAATACACTAAATTGGTTTAAACCCAATAACACATTCAGTCAGGTTTGGGTGTCTTTGTGGCATGGATGGGGAACAAGACTTCGGAATAATTTAGTTTCCACTGTGCTTTACACAACTGGGGCACCTTAGTAAAGTTTCACTTCCCTCTTCTGGTAATGGTAGTTGCCTAACTTCTTCTTACCATAAACTTGGGTAATACTCCTGCTTTTTGGCTTTCCCTGGCCTCCTCTTTCCTCCCACAACCCTGGTACTATTTCATGGAACAAAAAAACCCCCAACTTCTTTCTTCACTGGTGATTGCAGGTGATGTAGTTCACGTAACCAAGTTTAAAATACAGGTTCCTCAAAGGTCATAAAGGAAATAGTAGCATAAAAAAGAAAAAAGAGTGATAAAAAGAAAGAAAAAAAACCCCAAAGCAACACAATAAGCTTTGGACTAGCCAGGTCAAGCCAACATGAGATACAGATGGACAGCCATATAAACTGACTGACAGCATGAGAACAGAGTTCAGAAATGTCACTTGAGTTCTGCTCTTGTCATAGTCGGGTAAAAAACAACAGTTCTTTAACCCTGCAAGAGAATGAGAGCACTGTGTGTGTGTGTGTGTGAATAGTGGGGAAAAGGGTAGAAAGAGACTTGATATAAATGCATGTCTGCTGTGAATAATTTCACAGGTGACCCTTATGGAGTAAGAGTGGAACAAAGCCATTTATAGGTTTTAAAAATCAGAATTAAATGGTACTTAAAACATCCAGAACATCAACTCACCACTAGTCCTGGGGGCGTTCACATTTTCACCTGCTGTTTCCTGCAGACACCTCAAGTTCTGACACACACAGGGACACCCCAGCCTTGTCTCTGTTGAGCACTGTCACTGTGTAAATGCCACCAGAATCTGTAACAAAGGTATTTCTCCCTTTTTTTTTCTCTTGATCTGAACATTCCCAGCATGTCTCACTGAATCAGAGGATGCTCCTGCTTTCTTTTTACTCCTGCTCACTTGCCAAGGGTGAAGCTGTTGGAATTCTTACCCACATCTTTCACTTTCTGAGGGTGTCCTTACTACTAGGCTGCTCTTCCCCCTCTGATGAATTTAAGACAGACACAGTAAATGAAAGTTTTGAGCACTGAAATTTAACAAATACACACACACATATTCCCTCAAATAGCCTGCAGCCTTGTGCATCCTTCTGTGTTGTGGAAACTGTGGTACAAGTTGACAGTGGGAAGCATCAGACCCCATTTGTAAAAGGAAGTCCTTTTGGGTTTGCCTACTGTAAATAATTGTGCACAGCAAAAGCTTCAATCCACAGAAGCGAGCAAGCAGAACCACACACAGAGACTCTGCTTTAATGTATGCAGTGGTAGCAGCCTTACACCACCCCCTCTCCATCCTAATTTAGTTCCCAAAATTTTGAACATGTTAAGTTTCAAAGTCTAATCCGTCTCTGCATTTACAGTGCTCTGTTAAGGACACCACCCAAGGCTCTTTTCTAAATACTACTGTCAGTAACAGAGCTGACACAGAAGTCATTAGTGTCGACCTAGCTACCCCCTTTAAAGAAATACCTCTTATCTTCTCGCTGGAAAATAGTATTTTCATGGCAAGATAATTTTGAAGGTGCCAGCAGGAATAGAGACCCCATCATTTAAATTCTAGAGCTCGTGTTGCTCTATTGCAGGGTAAGAAGAGCAGAAGGTCTTAAATTACAATTAACGTTGACAGGCTTAGGAAATGGTGCTCGGGCATTGTTTTCATTCCTGCGGATTCCTCTCCCTTGGCAGATTCAAACAGCACGGTCACAGGATAAAGGTTTCTCCTAATTAACATTGTCCTAATAACATTTTGTTGACCTGTCTCTGCATCTTCCAGCTGACGTCAAAAATTCGAGAGGCAGCCTCTCGTTTGCCTCCGTAAACCGACTGCCCCTGACATTTCTGCCGTGCCAAACTGCATCTAAAAATCCGCCTGATGCCTGAGATTTTCCAGCTAACTGAGCTGAGACGTTTGGTCCCCCTCTTCTGTTGAGATTTAAATTGTTTGAAAGAAAAAGGGAGAACTGCAGCAGGCAGTGAACCAGGAGCTTTTTTTTTTTTTTTTTCTGCTGCATTTATTGATTGTCTGGAGCCCAGGTAATCCAGGAGAAAGCAAACACGGGCGCTGGGGAGCATTAGGCACAACCACGGTGGAACCATTAATAGGGCAGAGTGTCTGAGTGCTGGGGCTTATCCAAAGTGGCCCCTGTCACATGTCCACTTTAACTTTCCAGAACAGGTTTATATTTAGTAATGAGCATTGCAGGCAGATAAAATGGATGTAAAGGCGAAGTGCATTACGGTTACATCAGCTCTGGAGGTGAAGTGGTGACTCAGTGCGTGGATTGGAAAGGTCAACTTCTACTCTCATTTGTATCTGTGCAGCTCCCCTGAAGCTGATGAACTGTGTAGGTGTTACATGAGAATATCACCCCCAAGTTTAATAATCTTATGTGACTGCACGAATCTGACAATGGTATTTACACTGACAGTCTGTGAGCCTTGCGTGAGACAGTTGCTCTGCACACTTATAATTTAAAAATACCTTCCCACACCATTTCACACTGGAGATTAACTCAGACTTTACTTATTTCCCCAAGAAAGTATCTTAGTCACATTTCTAGAAGTGCCACATTAGAATTAGGTAATATGCCTGAGGTGTATATATATATAAAAAAAATAACTATTTTGTTGAAGAACAATGGTAATGATTTCTGTATCAAATATTATCTTCACTTAACCAGGTTATACAGTCTTTATCTATTAAAATGAAAGTTGTGTGTGATTCACAGAGTTGTATCAAGGACATTTGATGTCAAACAAAGATCAGTGATTAATTTCCAAAGGGCTGCAAGTTCTGCTAAACTGAGATGGGACCCTTGGCAAAGGTGCTTTGTGGTTGGGTTTTTGGTTTCTGGGGTTTTGGGTTTTGTTTTGTTGTTCTTTGTTTATTTTTGGTTTTAAATACTGGGATCCAAACGAAGACACAGTATCAACAAGAAAATAGAATTGTAAGAGTTTACCTCCGTTCATGACCTTGTGAATCTGCCTTACACTATGATGAAGCTCACACATAATTTATTGGTTAATCATTAACTGTCTCTGTTGCCTCTTAAGTGATTGGCTTAAGACTTCTGGAGAGCATAAGCTAAAAAAAAAAAACCAAACCCACAAAACAATTAACACAGTGGAAAAGAAAAATACCCAGATAC